ACTTCTCTTAATCACCAATTAAAATATTGGGCAAGAGTACAATCATCGTCGTTATAGCAATCATTTTGATTGTGTAGTTTTTGTTATCAATACGCGATTACGTTTGCCGCCAAGCATAAATTATCTGGTGTTTATGCTGTGTTAAGTAATCAATAAAAATGTAAATAAATTCAGAGAAATATAAATAATTCTTTCTAGTCATTATTTTTTATTAAAAGTTTCTTTCTTCCTTCTATTATCTCTTTTTGCAGTCGAAATGAGATGACTTATTAGGATGTCCGACTTATTAATTCTCTTAATAGAAAATTTTGGAGAACTTTAATAATTTAAAGTTCCAAGTAAAAATATATAGATTTCTCGTAATTGATTTGTCCGTGTGCATGGAAAACCTCGAGTGACAATCAAACCTGTATTTGTGCCTCATTAATTAAGTCTCGAATTCAGATCTCGCGGAGGATCGATCTTGATGATCGTGATCGATTACGGCACGGCCGAGATGTGTAAAAATCAAGGGCACGATTATTACACGTCGATATTACCTGAAGTAATATCGCGAAACGCTGTTACACAGTCCGCAAACTTTCTCGTCATCGCGATACCTAGTCGATATGCGACGGGGAGGACACGGCGATCGTATATACTGTAAATACCGATGAGATAGAAAGCAGGGTAGAAAGAGAAGTGGGCGGCAGCGGGTACGCCCGTATCGGGACGGTGTCCGATCTGTCAAGTGAATAAAAAATGAGGGAGGTATCGCGGTGCATCGCCCGCAATGTTGGTCAGCGAAAGACGATGCGTCGCCCGGAGCTGCACAGTTGCAGCAGGTTTTATCGATTGTGACCCTTAAGCTCTCTCTTCACCCCCTTTTCCCCCTTGAGTTATCTCGTTGTACGTGTGTGCAATGAGTAACGAGACGTCTTATAAGACTCGCAGGTATGGAAATGCAAAACGGCCAATAAAGATGCGAGTTTAAATAGCAAGTACATTTCGCGGAATATGAAAGTTGATAGCTTATCGTCTAAGTAAATCATCAACGTTGACGTACGATACATTAGGCACACGTGGTTACGGATTTTTACACGTGATCGCTGTTTTTATAATGGATTCGAGTCCGCCGAAAAGAACGCGCGATTAAACGTCTCCGCGCGAAACATCTTCTCGTTTTTTACAAAGTGACCACCGTTTCGAGAGACTTCACGCGCCATGTTAACAAACGATCAGATAAAACCGCGAAAATGTTATTGGGTGACGAGGGAAATTAATGATTCGCGGGAACTTCGGTTACATTAACGATCGCACGGCGCGGCGGCGGCCGATCTCCTCGGGATGAACCCCCTTTGGGAATGCGCTCCTAAATCGCGAGATAAACACGCAGGTCGTTAGTCGCTTTCACGACTGATATTTATTCGCACTTTGTGCCTACCTACGCGACGCAGCCGCGTTACGTAATACGGCTAATTAAAAGCCCAAACGTATCGCGCTAACTTTCCCCTATATTCATCGGACGACCGTTCCGCGACCGGCCGAGATAGCGATCGTTCAGCCAGTTCCCTTTGCGCGTCAATTAACGTTCCATGTCCGAAACCCATGTTCCGCAGGACTCGCAAATTCAATAACATAATGTATATTTTAAACCGCGCGACAGTGATTTAATGAAAGTTGAAAAAATCGACTGGTCTTTTTATATTAAACAAATTTTAGAGAAAACTTTGAAAAAGGTTTTTTAAAACTGTATTTTTATCGATTAAAACAATTGTTACGCGAAGTACTTTATTACCTTTAGTGATGTTTTTCTAGAATTTTGTTGTACATATAACGTTATGTATAATAGAAAGCATAGTAGTTGTTATTTTTTAAAAATTATGTTTTATTAAAATTAAAAAAAAAATACAAATTTGTGTGGTTTTTATTTTAAAATATAAATTAAACCATGAATAAAATACACATTGAACAAAACTCTTGTTTTTTATATAAGATTTTGTAAATGTTATCTCACACCGCAAAATTATCGCGCTGTAAATTGTGTACTTACGCCGAGCCGACGTTTCGTTATAATCCGCGGCACGCTAAAATATTCAATGAGCAACCGCGAGTTGCATTTTAGCATTTATCACGTCGAGCGTCCTCGACATTCAAGAGAGACGCTCGCCTTCCTAGTTCCCTTCCTAGTTCCGATCACCGGATCATTTTAAACCAACTCTCACGGTTTTTCACGCTTTTCCAAGGCGACTCGCGAGCGCAAAATACAAACGCGCTCCCGCGAGAAAATCGTTCGAATATATCGATGACGTGACTTTGTGAATCACGCGGGTACACGGCGCGGCGCGGCGGCGAGCAGCTGGCATTCCTAGAGACACACGAGAATTTATCGTCCTGCTACGTGCCCCTTACATTTCCCGTAAAAGAAGAAAACTAATGCCTATCGAGACATAATTCACTGTTCCCCCGTCGGATCCCGTCTAATGTTACATCGGTATACCTCGCCGGTAATGTCCACGATCAATAATCGCACGCAGGAAAATGTACGACCTCCCTCTCCCCCCCCCCCCGAAGTTTTCCCAAAGAGGAGAGAAGGAGGGACTGTGAGAGACGTCGCTAAATTACTACTAATTAACTTACTAATTAATCTCGACGATATCGTGAGTCTATTCGAAGATCTCGACAATTTACATTTTCATCGCATTCTCAAAAGTCGACTCTATTATACAATATTTAATATCAAGAGAGCCTTATATATATTTTAATTAATATCTCGTGTTGCTTTTGTATCTTAATGCGTTGCTTGCCATGATGATTTGACTTTTCAGTGACATTCTGGTGTGATCATTAATAATAATTGGCGCAATTTTTTTTTAATTTTTTAAAATTTTTGTAAGAAAATAAACGCCATCCAATATAAAATCTAATGTAAAGTCTATAATATAACATTAAAAATGACACAAATAGCTGAGTATTAAAGTTGAAATTCGTTATTTAACACAGTACTCGTGTGTTTTATTTAATTATATTACACAATATTTAATCATTACATATTTGTCATAATGAAAATCCTACTGTGGCGCACACGATAAGATATACAAAAGAACTCGCTCTGGGCGGGCAACGTGTTAATCGCAACTGCATATACTTCGCGAACGCGGCGCGGAATTTCCCAGACAAATATAACCCCTTCTATCTCGTGCGGAGACATTAACATATCTGATCGGCGATATTTACTGACAATCTCAAACATCCCAATGGTATAGCATTGATTATTAATTAGATACGCATGTTAGGTGCATGCATAATCTCGCAGCTTCCGGCACATGCATCGCTTTATATCAGCCGTGGCACCATCGTGCACTGTCGCGCATTAATAATACTTAATTCTCTTACGTAATAATATCGTGAGAGAAAAAAAATTCCAATATTATTACGCGACTCCGCGTATTCAAAACAGAAAAAGACCCCTGTGTTTGCTTTGCAGAACGTACGCTGTCGCGCGTGCGAGGGAACGTTCCCAGAAATCGTGCGTAACCCATTTCGAGCGAGAAAGTTCGGCGTACAGTTGTTTCTCTCGCAATTCCATTACCGCCAAGGACCTGTAGCCGCCCAGGTCCTTTCTTTCATTCTTTTTTTGTTTCACGAAACTTCTCGATTGTATAGTCGCCTCGATTAAACGCTTAACGCGGAGCTCGTTATTCTCACAGTTACGGAAAGTTCAGCCATGACGAGGCTAAATGCGATATAGCGCGGCCGCTTCACATAATTATCCGTCGATAATGAGAGATTGTCAGGCCGTTTCCGATTGATTAGAGAGCGGGGACAATTTGACCACGCGTGTCATGCGTTTGTCAGTCAATTCACAAGGCCGGGGGGGGGGGGGGGGGGGCGCAGGATTCCCCGTTTGATTTCGTCGCGCCAGATCGTGAGTAATTGCAATTAGAAAAAAATCGAGGTAAATAGCCATTTGACCAGCCGATTGTTTAATCACGTGATTTGCTGATTAGAAATGCGAAACGCGCATTAGTGGCGACGATTAACGTTACGCAATACCTGCGTGTGAGTGACGAAACAATAAAACTAGGGAAAAAAAGAGTGGAAAATAATGGAAAAAGAATTGAATTTTATCCGTGTCCGTATATTGCTAGGAAAATGCCGAAGCGATGGGCGGTGCCCGTCTAATAAATCCGATGGAAGATACGAGTTTAAGCTGTTCTCATATGTGTCACACGCATGCATTGTTCAAATGAAGAGTACAGCTTTTTACAAAAATCCACAACATAAATCTGCGCGACAGCGGCACGGCGAAACAGTCTCTCTCGAGCACTCGCTCTCGATCTTTTAATCTGACGGTAACGGCACTCGAATACACGAATGATTGAAAATGCGATAGACGCCCACTACAACACAGGGACGTTATATTTTTATCCACCAAACCTTCCAGATATCTGTTTATCGTATCCAAAAGCGTTACGGCGACTTCCTTGAACTCGCCGTAAGAGAGAAAATAGCGGGAGCGCACGGGCTTGAAAGAGGCAACCGAGAGACGTTACACAACAGCGTTACGCGTATCTCTTTCGCGTCTTCTTTAGACAATAATGCTTAAAAAGTCCGAATAAATTTGATGAACGAGACGATAGAAAGAATGCATGTTGGTACTTAAACGCGCCGGGGAGAATACCTCGGAGCTGACCGCAAGCTCACAGCTTCCGTGCTTCCGGGCGACTGCTCAACGGAAAGGAAAAAGCGGATTCCCCGCGCGGGTCGTCGTTAGAGAAAATTGTGACAATTGAGCAAGCATCCTCCAATGGGGGACCCGATGACATTTAGCGCAGTGTGACATGGTGATCTCAGGGAAGATGGTCTCTCCTCGACGCTGATGTGGAGTGTGTTGTCTCTCACAGCTCGCCGGCGGCGGCGACGCACACTTACACATATACGCGTACAGACACATGTTAGCGACGCCGTGTTAAATCGTGGATCCGTGTAAACCCCCCTGTCTGTCCCCGCATGCGGCCCCTCTGTGTGTCCCCATGTGCATCCTACATACTATCGTAACGCCGGTGGCCGTCGGTGCATCGGGCTGTCGGTGGTGTTGGTGATGCCTCCAGGGGTATATATACGACGAGCGCTGCGGGGCTTGATAAACACTTGCCCATCAGCGATTACTGCCGCAGCATGTACACGTCATTGGTAAGCGTTTAATTAAGAGGAAAGAAATTTCGGGGGGTGAAGGAAGGGAGCAGGGGCGGGGGCTGGGACTGGGGAGCAAGGATATGCCAGAGCGAGTGCCAGAGGGCACTTCCGCCCGCGAGACAATACGCGCCGGTAATCGTAGTTGGGTCGTGTGAATCTGACGTGCATTTCCGGTCCCCGGCGGTGGGATTCCCTGTGCGCGTATCCGGAGTATCCTGTGAGTTACGTTGTTGTAAGTGACACTTCTCGATTATATCCGGTATAGCGTACCCGAGAGCTCCGGGGACTCGGATGTCGGTGGGTAGAAACGCGCGGGGCGAGCCGGGATCGGAGGGTAAGTAGCGTATCCCGGAGGATCGTTGGTGTAAAGATATCGATCGACACCGTCGGGATACACTCAAAATCTGCCATGTTACGCGTGTAACGCGTGCAAAACGTTCTCGTGTACTAAATGCTTAACAATGAACGATACCAGGATGTTTTAACCGGGAGCTGAAACGATCTTTCTTTGGCGAAAGTTTTATCTTGTAAGAGACGGAAAGAGAAATGCGAGATAGCGGTGTCTTGTTTTTTTCAATTACTTTCAAGTATTTTAACACTAAAAGTACCAAAGCAGTCAAAACAATTAGTTTATAATTTTTTACCAAATTTATAACAATACATTTTTCTTAGATTTTCCGTAAATTTATTGCAATATATAAATTATTAAATTGATTAATTTACTTTTCCCTCTCGTTTCCTTTTTCAAAGATATTTAGTATATTTAAATAATAAAAATAGAGATATATGTTTCATCGATAGTGCGTTATCAGCATTTCAACGATATTTAGTAAACCGCCTAAAGCGAAGAATTACTAAACATTATAGTATTTCCCTAAAACATGATAATTGATCATTTCAGTTCTCGATAGCAGTATATTCGGTATAATTTGTTCAGTGCAACAATTTCTAAATAATCTATGTATTAAAGTAAATCGGTTTTACTGAATAATTTCAGAATACTATTTCAATAATCTTATTATAGAAATTAACTTTTTTGCGTCCCGATTAAGAATTATCGACTTATTAGCAGTGTCAGATAATTATTCGAAAAATTGTAGCATTATAAAATAGTAACAAGAATCGTCAGCACTGTGAGGCTTATTTTACACGAGGTGCGGCGTCTGACCTAATAACGCTGATACTACCGCGATTCCGTCGTGATGTCTGACTCAAAACGATATCACTACTGCGACGCGAGGCGCCCGTTTCCACTGATTCGCTGAGCTTTCTCCGTCGCTACACGACCGATCTAACAATTTTGAATATTGATGTTAAAATTAAATTGGATTATAACAAACAAAAAGATCACAATATATAAAAATTCAAAAACTTTAATATTTTGATAAAATAAATATTTCAATATTAATATCTAATATTTCGACGGTGAATAATTATATTGGAATGCGAACTTTGTTTTTAATTATTCCGTGAATCGTCACGTTGTGCAAATCGCGTCTTCGTGAATATCTAAGTGGCGGTAGCTATTAGCGCGCACCGCATAAACACTTGTGCAACGACGTAAGCCTCAAACAGGGAAGCTAACGAGAAGGCTAATATTCATCCGATGTTTATGCACCTGGAAACTTAACCGGTGGCGGTTTACTAAGGTCACTTAATTCTCGGCGCTGCGATCCAGCGTTGTTATCGGATATACCGCGACTTCGATACTCTATCGTTGCGCGCCAGTATTAAATTATATTCACCGCGGGTGTTTACGCGCAATCATCACATTAATTGAGATCCCATCTGATATTTATGACCAATAGATTGATCTACGGTATTAATTGCTGTATCTTTAATTCCCAAGAATGAATATTACTTTTACTTTCATTTCATCGCTCGTATTGAATCTTTTGCCCATTTGTAATCTCAATTTTGATGCAATGATCAATACCGCGTAATTTCGTAACATAATGCCATGTTCAAGCGATCTTAATCAATCACTATTAAAATCTTCTATTCACTGTTTGTGTTTAGCTGTTAAAGTGTGTCCCCTAACCGTAGATGTGAAAGTTACGCTGACTATAAATGTAGTCAACACATGGATGAGACATGGTTTAGGGAAAAAAAGATTAATTAAGATAGTCGTGACAGTATATCTGTCACCGCGGCATGATAAATTAATCGAGCGTTTTTTAACGATTTAATGATGGCTATTAAATAAATACTAATCTCATCAGTCTTCACGATTTTACGAAAGCAATTAATTTTGTTCAAAAGTACTGTAATACCATGCTTACGTCACCAAAATAATTACATTAATTAGACTTTAATATTTAAATACGTAAAAAATACATAAAAAAATATTATTAGGCTACCAAAATCCAGCTTGGACCGCATTTATTCTAAATAAATTTAATATTTGACTTTACTGTTAAATATTCTCTATATTTCTCTATATAAAAAATTTAACAGTAAACGTAACTTTTCAGCTAAAATTTCCACCTAGAATAAATACGTCATTGCGATCAGCTCGATTACGTCTAAATTCTTTTTTCCCGAATTGAATATATATATTATTTATCTCCCGTGCTATTAATGTTGCATACTTTTTTTCGTTCTACCGCCAGGTAGCCTTAATCGCATTGGCAGTCTGCGCCGCGGCAGCGCCCGCCGACGAGCCAATACCGATTATCAGCCAGAGCCAGGAGGGTCCCAATCCAGACGGGTCGTACAAGTGGAATTATGAGACCGGTAACGGTATCAAGGCCGAAGAGGAGGGCCACCTGGAGGATGTCGGCACCGACGACGAGGCGATGAAGGCGGAGGGTGGCTTCAGCTACGCGAGCGACGACGGCCAGGCGATCTCTTTGACGTACGTGGCCGACAAGAACGGCTTCCAGCCGGTGGGCGCTCATCTGCCCACCACGCCGGAAATCCCGCCGCTGATACTGAAGGCCCTCGAGTGGAACGCGGCGCATCCGTCCAAGGATGACGAGAACCAGGTGTAAAACAGCGACCCCCCGGCGCCGCCGTCCAGCATGTGATCTCACGACCTCCACGAGTATAATTATTCCGCCATGAGAATGGAAGACGATTTTAATATAATGAACCCACGGTGACACCCGGACGACGCGAGTGCTGTCGTCGGCCGCGTGTCGTTGTCCTCGCCCTCGTAACGAACACGAATTGCTCTGGTTCAAATTGTTGTAAATATTTATTGTACGCGATATTGTATACACACACACACACACACACACATGCGTATTTTATTATATATTGTATTGTATTAATATATTATATATATTTGAAGAGACGCAAATATATATGTACCATGACTATGTAACTAACTCATCGTTAGACATATATGTCACGGTGCATTAAGAATAAACGTTGCATCCCAGGAGAGACTTTGCTATTCTATTAATAGGCCCGATCCCTTCGGCGAGACACGCGAAAATGCGTGCAAGATTCCGCTGCGAATCCTTCGGGCGTATCAGGAAGGATGCGGGGCAAATTTGCGGTTAATGGTAGCGTGTGTTACTTCTCTGTCTCTCCGCCATCTCTGTTCTCTGCAAATTAAGAATTAATTTACTTCCTTAATACACGCGTAACAAAGTCAATTCTTGATTGGATTAATCCTTGATCGAAGATACTCTTATTCAGTTTGCTCGCGTCGGTTACTTCCGGAATTTGCAGTTCGACGCGCGGTTAAAGGTGGACCTGTGTGAATCCCGTATTCAAGCATCAACAATCACCCATATACAGTACGCGGATATATAGTAGACGTCGGGCCATCGCAATTACGTCGGCCTGATTTACGATAGAAAGTCGCGCGACTATTACTAAGATATTACACCGCTGTAAACACAGCTGCTGCGCGCGTCTTTATTACAGCGGACCTTGCTCGCTATCATTAATCAATCACGTGGAGTGGACAAAAGACGTGGCGCTTTATGTAACGCGCGTCATATGGGGACCGCAAGCGAACTTCAATTACGTTCGCCTGGTGCAATGAGAGTTTAGACATCACGATGGAAAATGTTTACTTAACCGCTCGCGCGTTAACGATTCACGTATTCATGGCACCACCGGGTAACAATCTAATTAAATTTATTTCTCATACAAGCCTGCCATGACATCAAGCTCGAGTAAGATATTTGTTGCATACAGGAATAAATCTCAATTTGTAGACACACACAGCGCTACAATTTACGTCACAGCATAGCAGTCTGAACTATATTTTTTAATATTTCTTTATGACGACATCGCGCTCAGGTGAGTCCCGCGACCTGTGGTAGTCAGGGGTTAATAAAAATATTCCTCTCCCACGCGGTGGGCGGGCGGGCGGATGGCACGGAAGATCGAGGCGAGCTGTCATTCCACGCTAGCACATGACAAATACAAATTAGCTCTGACACATTCTCCGCTCATGACTCTTTTCATCCTATCCCGTGATTTACGCTATTACTGACGATCGAGCACAAAGAGATCTGCCGTCCGAAGAGGAACGACGTACACAGAGCGAGCGAATCTCCAAAGCTGTCACTCCATGTCACTTCTAAGACACGGGAGATAGGAATCAGTGCTAACGCGTTTCTTTTCTCTCCGCTTTCATCTCTCCTCTCTCTTTCTCTAATGATCGAATACGCGATACTCCGCACTTCCCTGATATCGAGAATTAACACGTCACGATGATATCGCAGATAATCTTCGGGCAATGTGTCGTTTTCGCAGGCCAGTCATCTATCCGGGGGACTTTCCAAAAGGTCGTCTAGGGTCGTCCCGATTCGACACATTAACGTTGACAGCTTTGCGAGGGTGGAGAAACCGGAACTGATTATACCTCGCGGCGTTCACTCATTGAACTTTCACCGCAGGCGCCGCGACATTCGTCATGTATTGCCGTTTAGCACGACGTGAGTCGTGTTCTAAATTTGTTGCGGCATCACGTAACAGCAACTTATATAAATCTTCCCAGCGCAAGCTCGCGCGTTGCTGAATCTTTCAAAGTTTATTCCCATAGAGAGAGGGAAAGAGAAAACAAATTGTATACAAGCTTCAAATTCATTTTTCCCAAAAGTGCAGTTTCCTCCGACTAAGAAATCGTTGGTAAACCTTATATATCACTCAAAATTTGATAAAAAGCCATATTTCCTATATCCGCAAAGATACAAATTTTGAATCGAGATAAGAAAATCTCGCAAAAATGGCAAATCTTATATAAATGTTCTGTAAGTTGAAATTATTTGAATTGCTCAAAGAAAATTATTTAATTATTTACTTATTGCACTGTCTCAGCGCAACAGCATTCTTCTTGCAGCACGCGGTTTTATTATCCGCGGTTAGAGAAAGTGTGCCAAAGCGTGTCTCTTCCGGTGTACGCGTCACGTAGTACATTTATATACTTAGCAGAAAACGTATCTGCCGGTACGCTATCGCGGTGCCGCTATAATTTACAAATATTATAACAATTTCGCATTTGTCAAAATATTAATCTGAACGCGCGCATTAGGATGCGCGTATCGGCGATACATCGGCGATGATATCGCCCGGCGACTCATAATGTTTATTAATAGTACCCATAAATTCGATTATCCGGCCTCGATTAATCCCATCTATCGCAGTCTTATTTGCGCTCGCGATTCAACAAATACCGATTATGATCGTGCCGTCGAATCGAAATTGCTGCCGCAATCAAGAAACATGATTCGCGGAATTTATAACCGAATTATGAAGCGGCCGCTTGGTATTAATTATCAAATTAAACGCGGTGGCGCGCGAGCAAAACACATACATATATATGTGTGCACCTCCGTAAACAATTTAACATTATAATTGGCGTACGTGAATATTTCCGCGGAACGAGCAGTTCGTGTTTGTTCACGCGTGCGTTCACTTTGACGTCTATCAGTCATTTTAAATTAAAAACGAGGCAGGATCAAAGTAAAAATAAAGAAGAACTAAATTAAAGAACGGAAAGATTGAAGAAAGGAAATTGATTAGTCTATTTACATTCGCACGTTTGACCTAGATGAGCACCTAGTAGTGCGGGGCACCAATTACTGCATAATTGCTGTAATACAATACGTGAATGATGTATAAACTGTGTACATTATTTATTAATTAAATAATGTCAGGTTAAACAGAGAGATATTTCTTAATATTTTTCGAATTTCTTCTTGATTCAATTATTAATTTAATTTACTTTTACATTTTATAAAAATATTAAATTTTCAAATTATTGGGACGTAAATAAGAACTAAGTAAGTTATTATATACAAAAACGTATATAAGAACTTAACTAAGTTAATGTTAAAACGATTCATAATGCGCATTTTACCATTAGCGTAATTACCCTGTTGCTTGAACTGTCTTGCTACATTATCTCCAGTTTCGAGAAGACAGAGCGTAGTCGACAGTGCGACAGCAAGAGAACTCTCGCTATCATTCGCTTACATAACAATCTCTATCTTCCTCCTTCACCGCAATGACCATTTTTGACCCCGATTTTTCTATTACCGCATAACCGTCTGTCCACATTCAACTTGAGTGAGTTTGCTAGTCTCACATCAAGTAGCCGCTCTCGGAATATTTTTGCGAATTCTTTAACAAAGTAGGTGAAGAAAGCGGCTGTACGTCGCGAAAGGACAAATATTTGTTCGCCCGACAATTGTTTAACTATTAAGAAAAGTGCCTCCGACGTCGAGAGGCAATGATGTATTTAAAAGAAAGATCCTTAAAAATAAATACCCGATTACGGATCTAGAATGTTTTCATAACGTATAATAATTTCTTTTAGGCACATTCGAAGTAAATGGATAAATTTGCATTGGACTTGTAGATTTTTATATTGCTGAATATATGGGAATATATCTGAGGTTTTTTTTTTATTAACTTACAAGATTTCTGCTCTTAAAATCAATAACTCTCTCCATTTCTCTGTATATCTGTTATCTATGATTAATCGGATTAATAGAATTGTTTAAATTAGTTAACTGGAATAATTGCGAATTGAAGTAAACATGACAACACGATATTTTCCAATAATATAATTGACAATTGGCGTTTATTTCTTAATGATCTCATATAATACACATTAAAAACAAGCTGTTATCAATTTTAATGATTTTATAACTGAGTCTATCTCCCTATAATAAAATCTTTCAATATCGCATTTATCCCAAACACAATTCAATATCACAATTATCGTAATTGATTGCACGTTGGATACACTTAAAACAGAATATAACATGAAACGACGTCAACGAGGAATCGGGACGAGGAATTAAATCTTCCTTCGGTATACGAAATTTTTATACGAACTTGTCTTTTTACATTCGATGTCAAGCTAAGCATACGCAGTACATGATCTTTCAACGTGTCTGTAGCAAGAGGTGCATCAGTTACACTTTGTTTCTATCCTCCTGGGAAGGGTGAGCGGCTATCCAGTCGAGGGCACGCTGAATCGCGGGCGGAATTTCCGGCGGGGGCGGCGGGGTCGGCAGATGCGCCCCTTGGAAAACGGCGCCATTCTCATCTGCCAGCCAGCCGAGATTAATTTTCTGCCCGTCGGGCGCGGTCCACGACGCCGAGCCGCGTACCTCCTCAGCCTCCTTGTCCTTCTGGCCAGAATTCTTCTGGACACCCTGCTCCTCGAAAGTAATCCCGTTGGCGCTCTCCCATCTCAGGAAGTAGCTACCGTCCGGGCTGATGTCCTGCTCCTGCCTGACGATGGCTATCGGCTCATTTGCCGCCGATATTACTGCCGCCAGGCTCAGCAGGATAATTAAATGCGGATTCATCCTGGGGTAAGATCGAAGATAGATTAAGGATTCGTCTAACGCTCGACTGCCAGTCGTGGATCTGACGTTGCGCTCGTGTAAATCGGTATTAAAATTTCGATTGTAAAGTTCAACTTATATCACTTTTTAACAAAATTCATGAAACAATAAAAAAAATTTATAAATGCAACATCGGAAATGAAGAAAATTATAAACTTCTGATTTACGCGAAGACTCTTGTTTATCCAGTATTTATTTAACATATTGAATTTTTTTTGTAATAGCTATGTAAAGGTGTAATTTAAAATCGTAAATGAGAAGTGCATTGCAAACAATTTCGAAACTTTCGTTGAAGCTTCTGAAATAATTATTACAAAAAAGCGATGCAACTATAGCGATGCAAGAGCAATTGCAATAGCGCCGTTTGAGATTTGACTGACAGAGACGGACTTCTGCGCGACTCTTACCTCAACTGCTTCGTTTTCCAGATATTGCGTGCACGGTACTACTGACGAGCGTTTATCCACCGCGTCCTCCTTTTATAGATAGCAGTGCCCTGTGCTATCGGCGTATTTCAAATGCCACGATGATACCGGTTCGAACCTTTATTATAGACCGCTGCGCATCGTAAAAGAAAACCCGTAAGCCTTTTATACCCGCTTTTGTATTCCATAAGACGTCATATCGCGAGTTGGAATTGGAAAAGTTCTGCGCTTCTGTCGCTGCGATTTTGTCACCGCCTCGTTATCATTACTTTATTACTCGCTACCATTAATGTTTCAAACGCGACGATTATTTTTTTGGGTTTCAGCAAGAAAAGAGACGTTACACGAGCGAAATCTTACGTGCGATTAAAATGGAAATTTTCAAAATTTTCTTTAAACTTTATAACTTTCAGATTAATTGAAAAAGTTTAACATGTCGCAATTGTTTCGCGCGCGTTTCCATACAAAGATGCATAAATGGAGTTCAAGTACGTTGCAAATGCACGTAGTGTTTTAACCTTTGAAACGTACGTTGTATATCCACTCGTTTTTCCTCGGGATTCCTTTCGCGATCGATGTGCATCGCGCTCGGATGATTTTTTATCGTTAACGCCCGACAGCTGCGACATACGATGGGTCGTTAGCTCGTTTATCCCTATGCGAGTCCTTTTGTTGCAATTTTCGTATACATCCAGCTTTTTTGCGGTCATTTATATTCTTTTTATAACCGCGCCTTTTATTAAGCGTTAATCAAGTGATATACTGCCGCTCCCATTTCTTAACAGTTCATTCGCATTTATTGAAATATGCTTCTCGCACATTATTGTTGTTTTCGGAAATATTAATTTAAAGGCGACTCACATTTCTCTTTCGATTTTTTGCCTTTTTCTAAAAATAAACAAAATCGAGAAACAGATATAGAAATTGAATCTCACTTTTAAAGTTAATATTTATGAGAATGCGACAAGTTTTTCAGACAAATAAAATTTTCAGACAAATTTTATATAAATTTAGAACGGCAAAGAATATATTTGGAAAGCTACTTTAAAATTGCTCATCAATTCTCAATTTGAATCGATCCTTCTAACTGATTCGAACTAAAATATTACAATAAGTAATTTTGTGAGAAATATTATTAATCATTTATTCTTTACTAGCTGGTTACCCGGGCTTCGCCCCGGAGGTCATATGTAATAAGACACGCAAATAGATGATAACGTATATTTATATTTATATAACGCCAATAGATTTCCGCATCCACAGGATGGCACGCTCACACAGCCAATCCATAGATTTTTCTTTGATATCGGCGATATCAGGGTATATCTTGACATTCGGTCAATTATTTCCCGAAAAATTAAAAAAATTAAAAAAACCGGTTTCTAGAAGATCGGTAACGAAATCCCTTCTTACAATTAGTGGGTGCTTACGTCATGAGAGGAATACACTCTCCAAATTTCATGTTTCTAGGTTCAGGGGTTTGTCAGTCAGTCAGTCAGTCAGTCAGTCAACAAGACATCTTCTTTTATATATATAGATTTAAAATTAATCAATCTTATAAGAAGATAATTTGAAATAGCTTCTGCAATAATCAAGATAGTTTGTAATGTTGAACATTAAAAACAAAATGTAATTATAATATTTGATACAATTTATTAGATTTTTACGTAAGAATGTATGAATTATGTAAATATGAGCCGCGCATACCGAGTTACGGCGAAAAACACACACAAGCTTAACGAAAGTGAAATAATCGAAACAGCTATTTATTATCGAAATTAGGTAAATGCGATGTATTATCGCACAGAAAGAATTATGTCACGTTTATTGAACGTTTCATTTTAGCGGTTTTCTTCGATCGCTTGCGTAATGCAGTTTCATTACTCACTATTGAATTACCTTGTCAGTTGCCATAAATGTACCTGATACCCGTAACAGGATACGCATCTCGTAGCGATATTTCGCAGAAGGATCGTTAAAATCGAAGCCGGAGATTTCTCGCGACACTCTTTGCGATATAATAGTACCGCGCGATGCGAGTTATCAATATTTTTATTTAACACTCATTGTTGAAATGAGGCTCACTGGCAGATATGCCAGGCGCGCGCGCGCGCGCGACGATGCAACATTCACTCCTGGAGGATGGGCAGATTGAAAATCTGCACGAGGCAAAATTGCATAATAACGATGCGATGCCGAAGACGTACTCGCAGTTTTTAACCTTTCTGAGGCTCGAGAGCGAGCGACACGAATAGGAAACATTTTTACGGCGTAAAACACGCGCGCGCGCGTGCTTCGCCCATTATTTAACATTTGCTTATACTTATGTCGTTTTACGGCCAATGTGAAGCACATGTAAAGCGAGGGCCTCTCCTCCGCGTCCTCCTCGTAAAATTACCCGCGCGCACGCAATTCTAAATGGCCGATATCTAAATAACAGACTCGGGAACAAGCTCTGATCAAAAGTGGCTCACAAACTATTCTAAGCGCTTACGCCATTTTCTTTCTTGAGCGTCTTTACAAACTTTACTTCCAGACTATGTGATAACAAAAAAAATAAATCCGTAAGAATACGGGAAAAGTTTTAATATAAGATAGTAAAAAAGAAATAAAGTTTTAGAGAGTAATATAAAATTCAAATTTTATCGCGGTCTGTTAAATAAATATAAAAGAATATATAACATTTGAAAAAATAGTTTGAGTTTAACTGAATTACTGGTGACGTCGGTAGTGTTGTTCTGGCAGAAAAGAAACGGGGAGGCGGTGGAAGATAGAGGTGAAGCAACAATAGTTACAATAAGATATTTCCAACTTGGGCAAAACGCTTTTATTTATATACAAAAATCACAAGTTAAGTATACATATATACTATTAACGTTCGACGCACGCGTTAAACGATTCGCACGCGCGTGTCGTTCCTCGTTTCTTGCGTGCGGAGGCGGCGCGCGTGCATCGGGGGCACGGGCATCTTTCTCCCTCGGTGAAACTGCTTGAACAGTGCGCTTTATTTTTTTTTTTTCATCTATACAAGATAAGATAAAGAATCATCTCGGGAGTACATAGCTTATTATATATCGGTGTCTCATGCCTTGTCTTCGTGTTACGTTTGTATCCTAGATTAATATACCACACTATATTTATTTTTATGTGTTTGCGTTTCGAAAGCTCGGGGTCGGTTCTGTCCATGGCAAGCTGGCTCGGAATCAGGTCACGTTTGAGGTAAAGTTGGGCTGATTAACCTGCAACAGAAGGGAGAGACCGTGAGCGTGAGGAGGAAACGGCGCCTGAAATATTTAACGAAGACTCGGTAGTACGGTAACATAGTTACAGGTAGGTAGACACTTTATTATGTGTACCCTGTGTATGTACGGACAGAGAAATCCGTGAGAGCACAATACAAACGGACTACGTGGAATGTATTTTGGTAAACTATAGATCGACGATATAAAGTATCTCTAATGTCCATTTCTACAAGTGTAAATTAACTTTAATCTCGGTTTATAACTTACTTCTTATCTTCTTCTTATTCTTAAAAATAGAATTTCTAATTTTAAGAATAAGAAAAAGATAAAAAGCAAGTTAAACCGAGATTAAAGTTAATCTACATTGGCAGAAATGGACATAAGACGTAACTTTAAAAGAAGTTCATAAATACGGAAGTTAAAGTATAATGTTTCTGTCAATGCTGCAATGCAGATTAACTTTAATCTTGGTTTAACTTAAACGATTAACTTTCTAGTTCTAAGAATTTAGAAAAAGATAAAACGTAAGTTGAACCGAGATTAAAGTTAATCTACATTGGTAGAAATGGACATAAGGCACATATACGTATAGTGGAAGTGAGCTCTCTAAATCTGAATCAGTGAATAGTCACAGATATCAGTGTAAAGTATACCACTTTTCATAAATCAGTGGCATACTTTACATTGATATCATTCACTGATTCACAGTATTATTCACTAATTCAGATTTAGAGAGAGAGGAAAATTAAGTTTATAGAGGGGCACCCGCGATTACGTAACTTTTAATACGTGCGCTATTCTAAAAAGTATTCGTTTCGCGCTTCGCGTATCAGGATCTGATTCCAGAGGGGACTTTTATTTATCGACGGAATATGGAAGTCTTTCGGGCATCAACGACACGTATCGCCCGTAAGCGGAGTAACCGGATTTTGCTCCGTAAAAGCGGTTAACGTACGCTGAAATTGTTTTCGTTCCCGGTGCTCGGTCGCCACAAAGATATTTTCGGTTCACCGGTGCGCCCGTATTCGGGCCAATTTCAATTTCGAGTTCAGGACCAAAGTGAATTAAACGGTGCCGCAGCGAGTCTCGGTGAGCTACTGCCGGCCGCCGAACTGCGATTGAGTAAACTGATTTACCCCTCTTCCGCCCCACCGCTGTTTGTCGGAAACACAGAGGACGAGGCGTCGCTTAACGCACAGGGAAATTTAAATAGCTGCTTGATCAAAACGAGTTGCGAGAGAGGAAACGACGATCGGGATCGCCCGACGTAAATCAATTTCGCGGCAGAGGATCTGTCGCGGACTTTTTTTTTGCCTCCCGGCTTATCCCCCGGAAGTCGTGTGTCTTCCGCCGTGCGGTAATTCGGTTATTTCGGTCAACCGTTTGCCGTTACGCAGAAGAATCGCACGACGGAATTTCGCCCGGCGAACGACGGGAAAGGGAAAAACCGCGCGCGGTTTAATCGTCCACTCCAGATGAAGGCGCTTCTTCCAATTACGAAATTAATTAAACCTCCGTTCGGGACACAAAGAAACTTCATTTCTATCGCGCAGCGCCATGCGGTCACGCAAGCGATATCCCTCGAGGGGTAGAAACGCTGTTTCAAACACCGTGCCTTTTGAAGTCGCACACTTGATTATTAATCCCCCTCCCCCTTTAATTGTGTCCCCGGCTCGCGATAAATTTTGTACGATGACATGCAAGCACGTTTTATGATCTCAAATATTTCTCGTACATCGGTCAAAAATGTTTCGTCTTCGCTTTTGAAAATAAATACAACTTGGTTACCACGGATTTTCTAAAAGTTCCCGTTTATCCGATTATTGTCAAATATATTAATTG